TGATCACATGCAACTCTTAGTTTTTAGTGTATATTTGTTGATGGTGTGAATCTTAGTTTTCAGTGTATATTTGTTCATATGTGAATCTTAGTTTTCAGTGTATATTTGTTGATGGTGTGAATCTTAGTTTTCAGTGTATATTTGTTGATGATGTGAATCTTAAGTTAAAATTACCTCTATAGCTATGACCTGCAACCATCATAATTCCCTTGGAAAAACTTCTACAACATGTTATATCAACAAGAGAATGAACATAAAGTTCTTGAATGTTTGCAGACATTTAACTGTGTGAGTACAAAAGATGGTTGATACGACCCTCTCTGGAAACTATTTGTAATCATGAAACTGTATGTTCTATATTTCTGGATGTACTAAATATACCTTCATGAAATGTGGCGAGCTTTTAGTAAACATTACGGATCTGTTGTACACAAAAAATCGGGTATTTTAACAAAGTATTTTTACTAAACATTTGTATGTGAATATGTGATTGTTTTGCTGAGTCAGTCCAAATGAAAGATGTTTCACCCCTTATGACACTTCTCACATGCTACAACATGTTTGTTCTGACAGTTGGTCTTCTGTTAGGTGGATGCTTTGAGAAAAGATTGTGTTTTGCAGACCTAAATCAATTTGATTAATCTCATTTACTCTTACAAGGGAGGTTCCTTCTTTAACTTTGCTCTTGGGCTACTTCTGGTGACAAGCTGTTTAAACTTTCGTCACTTACTCCAGTGTGGGATTAGTATCTGGTCATGGAGTAGCCTATTTTTCCTTGCTGAAATTATCTTCCCTTGTTTTACCAGTATGATTCAACACTACAAATATCCCTTTTTTTGAAATATTAATTATAAAAAGCTTTGCACACTTTTATAATAGAAGCTCTCATAATGTAACGCTCTTAAAAGAGGTCAGCTTTTGGTGCCATCTGTACTTCCAGATTAACACATTTCAACTGAATTGATATAAGAGGGTCAGAGGTTACTTACCATAGGTAATGGTCAATCCTCATTTGTTGTGGTATTCAACTGCTTACAAATACTTCTAGTCATCACGTACAAATACTCAACTTCACATCATTGAATAAGTACTTGTAGTTGTCATACTCTTGCACAACTTCATGTAGCTTTTTATTTTTGGGTACTTGTTTTCAAATTTTTGTATATATACACACGTAGCTTGATATTTTTGTCAAATAAATGTTTTCTTCACAGTGTTGTTTAAATACTTCTTAACTTCACGTTGGGTGAATACTTGTCTTCGTGTTCTTGGAAAAATACTTATAGCTTCATGTTTTTCTATAAATACTTGTAGCTTCACATTGTTGTGTAAATACTTGTAGCTTCACATTGTTGTGTATTTCAGAAAGGTTATTAACCATCAACTATGGAGCTACAAGTATTTGCACAACAATGTGAAGCTACAAGTATTTGCACAACAATGTGAAGCAACAAGTATTTAAATTCACAATCTTACCTGATTGTTGTAATCTAAAATGCTTGGTGAATCCACAGGTTGCATTAAGTGGGGTGGATAATCAAATGGTAAGCTGTCGATTCCGACGGGTTCAAACCCTCCCAGAGTATCGTGAATTTGGGTGAGTCCTCCAGTTACGGGATGCACGACTAAATGTTCTCCTCCAGGGTTCTGAAGTTTCAACATCGTTAGATTTTTGTTCACGTCCTCTTCGGTAGGTGATGATTGCCTACTTCCAGGTTGACGACTACATGTAAAGATGAATTATTCACACAATATTAAAACAATTATTCTTCCTCACAGACAGGTTCATAATCTGGCATTCTGTACAATGTCAGACAAAAAAAATTATTGAAGATGTTCAATTGCAAATCTTGCTTAATATGTCTTCTTCAACAATGAGCAAATCTTATAACCTAAAATCCCTAACAGCATCTCTCCAACAAAGTACACAAAAGAAGTGTGGTATTTAGATTACAACAATCAGGTAAAATTGTGAATTAGAAGTGTGGTATTTAGATTACAACAATCAGGTAAGATTGTGAATTAGAAGTGTGGTATTTAGATTACAACAATCAGGTAAGATTGTGAATTAGAAGTGTGGTATTTAGATTACAACAATCAGGTAAGATTGTGAATTAGAAGTGTGGTAAATGTAGCTGTTTATTTTCTAATAGTTAAGTTCTGTGGCTGAATCTTTAATAGCATCTCTCTGTTCCAAACAAACGAAGCTTCTATTTTTACAATTTAAAAAAGTGTTCAACCGTCGCTTGGTGTATCAGAGTTTTATTAGTCAAGTGCATGTTAAAAAGCTTGTCATTGGCAAGGTAAAGCTGGTATGTTAAAATGGCAGTTAATTTTCATTTCCATGTACAGATTCCTCCAGGACAAGAACAGTTAACATCTTTGTTATTTTTTTGCTGCTATTCTGATTAATATGCTTGGCAGTTAACATCTTTGTTATTTTCTTGCTGCTATTCTGATTAATATGCTTGGCAGTTAAAATCTTTGTTATTTTTTTGCTGCTATTCTGATTAATATGCTTGGCAGTTAACATGTTTGTTATTTTTTTTGCTGCTATTCTGATTAATATGCTCGGCAGTGAGTTGATAATTTCTCTGTTTCAGAGAGGTGAACATCAGCTACTCTATCATCATAGAAATCAAACAGCTGCGCAAGGACAGCCGTTATCCATGATACCCCAGCAGCAAGGACAAAGTTTGGGAGCATCAAACCCCTACCTTGTGAATCAGGATCCCTATGCCATGGGTACAATCATGCCAGGTGAGACTGAGTAAAGTGTGGGAAAATTTACATCTAAATTGATCTATAAAGTATGGATTTAAGGTGTAAATGTAGTCATTATGTTATGTTGGAACTAGTTTTTCAACTGTTTGTTAATAGTGTATCCATTACAGTTTTAACACATTACAGGCCCAGCTATGATGCCTCAATATTATGGAATGCCTCCTTGGGGTATGTTTCCCACTCCAGGCCTGATTCAAGGGAATCAAGGGCAACCCCACGGCCCAGCTGTACAACAGCAACTTTTACGTACTAATGGTACCCATGCCATGACACCCCAGGGGAATGGAGAGAGTCTCCCTCAGGGTACAAACAATATACAGGGTACTGGTATGTCTCACTTTGTATATTCTAATCATAACGGTTATTTGATAGATCTGTTTGGAAATGTTCTTAGCAGTGATGTACAAATTCTCAAAGGTTTTTAGAAATTGGATTAGATGAGTTTCTAGAAATGATAACATTAACCTTCTTCATTGGTGAACTGGTCTTGTTTAAAAATGCTTTGTTTGCTTATCTTAACAGCTCTTCTTTTTAAACCTTTGTGGTAGATAATTTCAGGTGTTTTACTTGGCTGTCAATGCAACAATGTTTTGATAGTTTGTTATGAACTGCATTAAAGCAAAATAATATTGTTGTGTCATTAAAGAAAGTTAAATATTCAAAACTTTACATATTGTCTCATTGAGAAAAAATAAATTGATACACTCTTGGTTTAAGTTTGAAACATTATCTGTTAAGTTTGAAACGTTAATAGTAAGTTGACACATTATCTGTTAAGTTTGAAACGTTAATAGTAAGTTGACACATTATCTGTTAAGTTTGAAACGTTAATAGTAAGTTGACACATTATCTGTTAAGTTTGAAACGTTAATAGTAAGTTGACACATATTGTTAAGTTTGAAACGTTAATAGTAAGTTGACACATATGTTAAGTTTGAAACGTTAATAGTAAGTTGACACATATGTTAAGTTTGAAACGTTAATAGTAAGTTGACACATTATATGTTAAGTTTGAAACGTTAATAATAAGTTGACACATTATATGATAAGATTGAAACGTTAATAGTAAGTTGACACATTATCTGTTAAGTTTGAAACCTAAATAATAAATTTAAAAATTTTTTATAAAAATAAGTATAAAGCTGATCTGTCACAAGAATTGAAATATTTTTTATCTTTTCACGAAGGAAGAACTTTAAAAAAAAATTGCTAATTGCTGTCTCAGAATGGAAATGTTATTGAAAAACAAACTATAATGATAAGTATAACTAGGCATATGAATATCCTTAAACTAATGTTTCTCTTTACGGTATCTAGGTGGCCAATACCAGATGGTAGCACCCTCTTTCTATGACCAGAATGGTTCATTAATGGTTGGAAATGCCAGAAACATAGGTGGACCCCCTCCTATGAGATTAATACCACCACTAATTGTGAACCCCCATCCCCAGGGATCTACAGGCAATTCTTCTGGTATGTAGAATGATAAAAGTGTAGGGTTTAAAACTATGATTAATTAACCCTGTGCATAGGCATCCCTTGTCACAAGGTTTTTACTGACTTCATTCAAAATTTAATTAAACTACTTTGTGTTATATCAATTAATGTAGCATAAAATCAGAACTAATAATCCATATTTGAATAGTATACAAGTTTTATGTTCTTAATTTTATAAAGCAATATTTAAAAAAATTTTGAATTTCCCCTTGTGTGAGAAATGTGACATATTTTCTCAAGGCTTCCCATCTTCTGTAATTTATCCACCACCCCTCCAATAAGTACAAAATTTAACATAAATTACTCACTATGAAATCACCATCCCTCAGACAAAGCATAATTTTTATAGCCTTCAACCTTGTTTGGTTACAGAGCCATCAAATAGAAAATCAGACCTACCTTTCACATCCTCTCATTCAGGATTTGTTAATAGTTCTCTCTGATGTTTAATACTATATTATTTATAACCAATTGAAAGCCAAGATTTACATCTATCAAATGATGTATTATATTACACTGTTTTCTGAACAGAGAATTGTCAATTTCTCGTATAAGCTTTGTTCCCACGGGAAACATATTGACTAGCTTGGATGAATTTGTAATGGCTCTTGTTGCATAGTTAGAAAGCCAGAAAAATTTTTAGTGCACTACTACTACCATTAGTGATTATATATATTTATTTATAAAAGCATTCAAGAGATGGCAGCACTAAATATGTGGAATGTAAAGCAAGTTTTCCAGGAGCTGCTAGATTATGAACAAACACCCTGTTTTCTCTCCATAACAAAGTGTTTTTTTATGTGTTACTGTATATTGTAACATCTCTTAACATGAGAGAGTGTGTTATTACATCTGTAATGATGTTTGTGACTATGTTCTAACACATTTAATGATGTATTTTGCTATTTTAATCCCAAGAACTTGTGAGTGAAAGTAAAATATATAAAAATTTCTAAACCACACTGTCTGCTATATCCAGTTTTCGTGGGGGCTGATGCTCTAATACCAGAACAGCGATATGACAAGATGTAAGTCAGTGTGTAGTGTAAGCTATCACATTATCAGTTAGTATATTACTATATTAGTGGCAGTGTGGCACGCTATAATATCTGTGATGGTGTTTGTATATTTTTTCACCAAGTTGTAGGTAAGAGTACATACATAAAAAGAGGGGTTGTTTGTAGATTGTTTTATCAAGTGGTAGACTGAAGTAAACACACAAAAATGGGTGGTCTTTAATAGATTGTTTTGCCAAGTTTTAGGCTAGAGTAGACCACAACAACAAGTTTTGTTTGTAGATTGTTTTATCAAGTGGTAAGCTGAAGTACACACTTAAAGGCGGATGTTGTTAAAAGACTATTTCACGAGGTCATAAGCTGGAGTAAACACACAAAAATGGGTGGTCTTTTGTTGGTCGTTTTGCCAAGTTTTAGGCTAGAGTAGACCACAACAAGTGTTGTTTGTAGATTGTTTTGTCTAGTTGTAGGCACGTAAAAGGTGTTTCATCGAGTTGTAGGCTGGAGTAAACACACAAAAATGGGTGGTATTTGTAGGTTGTTTTACCAAGTTGTAGACAGGAGTAGGCACGTAAAAGGTGTTTCATCGAGTTGTAGGCTGGAGTAAACACACAAAAATGGGTGGTATTTGTGGGTTGTTTTACCAAGTTGTAGACAGGAGTGGGCACGTAAAAGGTGTTTCATCGAGTTGTAGGCTGGAGTAAACACACAAAAATGGGTGGTATTTGTAGGTTGTTTTACCAAGTTGTAGACAGGAGTAGGCACGTAAAAGGTGTTTCATCAAGTTGTAGGCTGGAATACACAGAAAAATGGATGATGTTTGTAGGTTGTTTTATCTAGTTGTAGGCAGAAATATGCAAAAGGTGATGTTTGTAGGTTGTTTTACCTAGTTGTAGGCTGGAATAGGCACATAAAAATGGGTGATGTTTGTAGGTTGTTTTATCTAGTTGTAGGCAGAAATACACAAAAGGTGATGTTTGTAGGTTGTTTTACCTAGTTGTAGGCTGGAATAGGCACATAAAAATGGGTGGTATTTGTAGGTTGTTTTATCTAGTTGTGGGCTATAGTAGACAAAAATGGGTGATGTTTGTGGGTTGTTTTACCAAGTTGTAGGCTGGAATAGGCACATAAAAATGGGTGATGTTTTATCAAGTTGTAGTTAGATGTTCCGATGTATTTATTAGCAGATTGTTCCATTGTTGTAGTAGGACTTACTGGTGTATTCATTATTTGTGAAGGAACTGTAATTGTAAATCAGTTAGAGAATTTTAAGGTTGTAGTAAGACTTTCAGATGCTTTGGTTGCAACTAATGTTTTATCTAAACAGCTTCATCTAAGCAGATCACTAACGGAGGCCTGCCCATCCTTCTGCCTGACATTCAGCAACAACTGCAGAACCCAACGGCTAGTCACTTCTCTACTCACACCTCCAACCCTGTTAATAGTTCTCTCTATACATCTGCTCCCAACAGTAACTTACCATTCAATCAGCAGACGGCCAACCTTTGCTACTCAGGTAGCAGTGGGTTTGCCTCTGGCCTTGGGATGAGCCACAGTCAGACACAAGCCAGCATGGTGTATGGAAGCAGTCCACTAGGATCAGTGGTTTCATCAGGTATAGGATCAGGTAATCCTTTATAAAATCCGATTTGTGAAAAACAAGTGCCATCTCTCTTTGTGTAAGATTTTTTTCTATTTTAATTTGAATAGGGCTGAATATCGTTTTTTATAAGTACATCAGTGTTTTTCACCAGTCATTAGTACACTGTGATACAGAACAATCACTTAGTTTGAAATTTGTTCATTGGTACTTAAAAATAATTAGATAACAACAGAAAACTTGCTAGAATAATTCTAAAGACAGCAGTGTTTAGATGTACCTGTCATAATCATGATCAGAACTCATGGAAGTCTGTTATAATCACAGTCATGAGTCATGGAAGTCTATCCTAATTGCAATTAGGACCTAATGGAGATCTCTTCTAATTGTGATCAAGACCTAATGGGGCCCTGTAAAAATATTTTCTGTCCTTCAAGTTTTACAAGCAGGCCATCTTTTTATTTTAGTGTGATAATTTTTTTGTCTTGGAAACATAAAGATAAATCTTGATTCATGAAGAATGTTAAAAATTCTGTTTTAAAAAGCTATTCTTAAACATTAAACAATTATTGACTGGTAAAAAGGGCAAAAAATATGTTTCAATGAAGATTTAGAAAGTAATTTTCAAAATATAACAGCTCATCATTATGTGATTATACAAATAAACATGTAGTGCGCACCTGTCTTAACTTCAGCATAAAATTATGCCTAAAGTTTATTGGTATGCTTTTTCTGTACTGCCAAAATATGTCTGCCAAGACCTCCTGCAATGTCATGCATGCATGGCAACAACCTTGACAATTGGGCATCATTGATGCGACTTGTTGACTGGATTTTCAAGGCAACATTTAAGATGTTTTATACAATGCAGTGTTCTCTCAGCCAATCACAGAGAAAAAATTGTGCTAAGGTGTAGAAGTATTTGTGATATTTAATTTTGGTTTTGAGGTGTGAACTCCAACTACTGATATCTTGTATAGAAGAGTTCCATTATTGTACCAAATCAAGTTTTATATGAGGTAAAGTGTTAAGTTTCAAAAAAGCTTGTTATGATAAGTTTTAAATTATGAAGAGATTCATATTGCCAATTTTCATTTACCTTTTTGGAATGTAGGATTGGGTAATACCATGGGTTCTCCTCGTCGAGACTCTCTGGACAGGAGGAGCAGTGCAGGCCTAGGAGGGGTATTCTCTAGTAGCCTGGAAAACCAGTTTTCCTGTCAGTTGACAGCATCAAAAAGTGGGCAGTTTTTTGGTCCCTTAGGAACAGTGACGGCTTCTTCTGGTCCTATTGGAATGCTTCAACTGGGACAGAGCCTCACTCCACCACCTTCAGCCAGTGTTTCATCTAACAACTTGAACTTGGGTAGGTAACATTGTTAAATTATAAAGAAATTCTGGTCTCTTTTGATGTATTCGTATATGTGGAGAGTGTGGGATCTTTTTTAATTGGGCAGAACTTGAAACCAAGTTCAGGTCTTGTAGTAACTCTCTAGTTAGAGGCTCAGCCAAGTTAATGACCTCAAATTGAACTTTGTAGTTTCCATACTATAACTTCTAATATGTTCTGTTTAACTTCACAAATTTTCATAAACTTTCAAGTAAGCATTAAGAGTCTTTTGAAGACATAAAAAAAATCAAAATTTTTAATGAAATATTTTCACTAAATATTTCTCCATGAATATATGGAGTCAAAGTGTTGGTTACTCCGCATTTAAAGAGATTTTCATGTTAATATTAAAAATACTTTTCTTCATCTGAAAATTTTCAGAATTCATTTGTGTAATCTCAAACCTCAAATAAATTACAAACGTTTTTTTTGGTAAAACTTTTTTTGTCTGTTTTTTTCTGTATTCTAACTATACGAGGTTGGTCAATTTGACTGACCTTGTAACCCCCATAAAAAAATTGCCCTCTTTTTTTCTAGAATGACTTCAAATTGTAACATGATACTACATTTGTTTATACTTAAATTTTATTGTTTTACCACCCTTTGTAAATCACTTTGGAAATGTTTAGCTCATTTTACCCTATCGAATTACTTAAGACACGGACTACTTAAGGGTATAACTTTATGAAAAACTTTTATTTTTGTCTTTATCGTGCCTAATCTAACCTTAACTTATATAATAAGTTTCAAATTTTTTAATTTAGTTACTTTTATAATGTGACTGTCGATGAAACTTAACCCTACTTTTTTTTTATTACTAATGATACTACTACATAGAATAACAACATATAAAAAGCAGGCAATATTCATAACTATTATTTTTTTGGCTTTCTATTGGTTATAAATAACATAGCATTAAATGTCAAAGAATTATTGGCAATTTGTGAAAGAGAAGATGTGACAGGTGGGTGTTGCAAAACAGGTCTGATTTTCTAAATAAGTTTGAAGAATATAAAAATTATGCTTTGTCTGAGTAAGAACAATATGATAATGAGCAATTTACATTACATTCTGTATTCTCGGAGGGGTGGTAAATAAATTAGAGAAGAGGGGGTACTTAGAGAGCAATTCTCATACAAGAGTGAGATTGAGGATTTTTTAAAATATTTCCTTATAAAATTAAAAACTTGTAAGTTATATAAAAAAATTGTTTTAACTATGTTGTTATGCCAAGTGTATTTGTATACCTTGATAATAAAGTAGTTTAAAATTTGAATGTAATTCTCTAAAATGTAGTGACAATGGCACTTTGACCTGTCTGTAACGAGAGGGTTAAATTACTTTCAGTATGATTATATAGATCAGTTTTATTTATCCATACATCCTTGACACCCATATCTTTTTTTAAATGCCATATTAGGAGTGTATTTTTTTCCTAGTTACAAAAAATTTTTATTGTAATTAAGTATATTTTTCTTTCTGTAAAAAATATTAGATCAAACAAACTAAAATTAACAATATTATTATTAGTTATAATTTTATCAGCTCAAATAAAATTGTTTATAGTTGAGTGTTTTTCCTAAAACATGTCTTCCAGGCCCACTAAATAGTCGCATGATCTCTGCAGCCTCTGGTTCCGAAGCGAAATACATGGTCCGGAATGGCCCACTGGGAAACAATAATATCTTTGGTTCTTCAAGCTCCATGTTCCCCAATCGACACCTTCAGCGAAAGTTAGTATTCAGGGGACAAACACCAACCTTAAAGACACTTCAGTCTTTTGTATTTTTTTTTTTCTATTGAAAATGGAAATGTAGGACATGAAAGTAAACTTTCTTACTTTTAATTCTATTCTTCCAATTTTATGGCAGAAACTTTTGTACTGCTTTATATTTCTTTTAAACTTTTTAACGTATTCTTGATTTCTATTCATCAGTTCTGAGTGATAACAGGAAAGCTTTGTGTAGATGTAGTTTCTTAAATTAGTACCTAATTTGGAAGTTTGATATTGTGTATCAAACAAGAAAAAGCTTTGAAAATCACGGTGTTCTTAACACCCCTTTCAGTGGAGAGTAGAACTCAGCAAATAGTAAGATAGTACCAGATGCTATGTTTTTTGTTATTGGAAATTGAAAGCCTTTATGGTCAGAAATATAAAGTGTGTATTTTTACATGTGCTAAAAGTTTTCCATTAAGATATTTCAATACTCCATTAAAGTTGTGTATTGTAGAAAGTTTAAACCTTCTCAAGTTTTGTATATTTCTGGTATTACAGTTCAAGCATAGAAAAAACCACCGGTAGAAGTCGTCTCTTGGAGGATTTTAGAAATAATCGCTACCCAAACCTGCAGGTCAGAGACTTAGCTAATCATATTGTGGAATTCTCACAAGATCAGCATGGATCCAGGTAAATCATAGAAATCTCAGAAAAACAGAATTAGCTTAGATGTACATGTAATGTGACAACTGAGACATTGATATTCTTTTCACAGGTTCATCCAGCAGAAGCTGGAGCGAGCAACCCCAGCAGAAAAGCAGATGGTCTTTAATGAGATCTTGGGGGATGCATATGGCCTGATGACGGATGTCTTTGGAAATTATGTAATCCAGAAGTTTTTTGAGTTTGGTACTCCTGATCAGAAACAGGCCTTAACACAGAAGGTGAAAGGTCATGTCCTGCCTTTAGCATTACAAATGTATGGCTGCCGGGTCATACAGAAAGCACTTGAATCCATACCATCAGATCAGCAGGTGAAAAAAAAATTTTTTTTTTTTTATTGGAATATAATTAAACTATTTTAGTATCATGACATAAAAATGTAGTTAATAAATCAAATGTTAATACACTTTTTGAAGGAAATATTTAACAAATTTTTCAATCTCACTAGTATGAGAATAGTGACATTTGCTCTATAGGTATCCCCTCTTCTCTAATTTATTTACCACCACGCAGAGAGGTACGGAGTTTAATGTGAATTACTCATTATAATGTTGTCATCACCCAGGCAAAGCATAGTTCAGTTTTATTTGGTTAAGAGCTATCAAATAAACAATCAAACGCCTCTTACCATGCCCACTTTTTACATCTTCTCTTTCAAAATGTGACAATAGTTCTTTCTTACATTTATTGCTATATTATTTATAACCAATAAAAAGCCAAGGTTTTAATCTATCAAATGATATTTAATGTTGTTTTCTGTACATGGGAAACACACCAACAGGCTTAGCTGAATTTTTAATGGCTCTTATCAAATAGTTAGAAAACCCAAAAATTTATGATAGTTATGGATATTGTCTGCTTTTTATTCTGTGTTCTTAGGTGCATTATTTAATTAAATAAAAAATTAAGTGTAGTAGTATCATTAGTACAGAAAAAAAAAGTATGGTTACGGTTCATTTATAGTAAATAAAAAAAGTGGTGGAAAGATCCAGGCAATTCTTGCTTTTCATGTGTATTCTTTATTTGTTGTTATAAAAGAAACTAAAATTTAATAATATTACATTAGATAAGGTTATATTAGGTAAGATAAGGAAGAAGAAAAATATTTCATGAGGTATGCTCGCGAGTAGCTCGTGCCTTACATAATTTGATAGGGTAACATGAGCTACACATTCACCAAGTGACTTAAAATTTGTGTGGTGAGATTATTAATTAGACATGGTTCAAAGGGCAATAAAAGTTAAATCTCATAATAGTATACATCTATTTCTATTTAAGATATTTAGAATAAAAAAATGTAGTTTCAAGTTACAATTTGAAGTCATTCTGGAAATTAAAGGGCAATTTAGATATACTTCATATTTTTAAATTGATTGGTCAAATTGACCAACCTCGTATGGAGTTAGGACAGAGAAAATAACAGATACAATATAGTTTTACTCAAAAGAAAAAACATTTGAAATTTACTTAAGAGGTTTTAGGGATTATGCAAATGAAATTTAACAATTTTCAGATGAAGAAAAGTATTTTTAATCTTAACATGAAAATCAGTTTGCATTGGAAGTAGTCAACACTTTGACTCCATATATTCATTGAAAAATTTTGAGTGAAAATACTGATTTTTTTTGTCTACAAAAGACTTGATGCATACCAAAAGCTTGTGAAATGTTATGAAGATGCACAGAACATATTGTAAATTATAGTATGGAAACTATAAAGGTTAAGTTAGGGTCACAAACTTGGCTGATTTGATTGAACCTGTAATGAGTGTTAAATTGTGGTTTGCTGTTAAATTTAAAATTGCACTACTTTACGACTGTTGAAGGAAAAAAATGTTTAATACTATAAAATATTTACACTAATTTCAGTCCAAGTGAAGCTGTGATGTTTTTATGGATACTTTTACAGAAAGAAATCGTGAAGGAACTTGATGGCCATGTCCTGAAGTGTGTCAAAGATCAAAATGGAAACCATGTTGTTCAGAAATGTATTGAATGTGTGGATCCAGTAGTCCTGCAGTTTATCATCAATGCCTTTCAAGGACAGGTATTGTTCTACATATAACTTTTTAAATATTCCAGACTTTGGTCATATATTTTCTACTCTCAAACCTCGTACTGACTGATGAGCTGTTCTTACTGCCCTTCATACCGTGTTCCCATTCTTCATACTTTAATACCACGTCCTGACAAGGCTGTCCTTCAAACTTTGGTCACATCCTTTCTATTTCGATACCTGCACTGACTGACAAGCTGTTCTTACTGCCCTTCATACCGTGTTCCCGTTCTTCATACTTTAATACCACGTCCTGACAGGGCTGTCCTTCAAACTTTGGTCACATCCTTTCTATTTCGATACCTGCACTGACTGACAAGCTGTTCACATTGAAAAGGCTGTCCTTCAAACTTTGGTCACATCCTTTCTATTTCGATACCTGCACTGACTGACAAGCTGTTCTCCAGACTTTGGTCATATCCTTCCTACTTCAAAACCAAATACTGACTGATGAGGATGTCCTTCAAATAAGTTACATCACAAGATATCTAGAGCATTGGTTCCCAATCATTGGCCCCATGGACTGGTTCCCATTCATAGGAAGATTTCGAACCAGTCCACTAAGTGTTTAGAATATAGCCACTGAAGTACATTTTTATAGTGTAATTTAAAAGCACTTTACTACAAAGTTGATATTGTACAAAGAAGTCCATGAAATTTTTTATTCTTAACTAGCTGTTCCTTTGTTGGGAACCATTGATCTAGTGTGTGTATGGATGTAAGTTGCTACTCTGAAGATATGGAAGTTGTTATGAATAATCTGAAAATTGTGGTAGTGAAGGTGAGGCGTGAAAGATGTATTGAAGGTGTGGAGAGTAATGTAGGTGAGGCGTGAAAGATGTATTGAAGGTGTGGAAAGTAATGTAGGTGAGGCGTGAAAGATATATTGAAGGTGTGGAAAGTAATGTAGGTGAGGCGTGAAAGATGTATTGAAGGTGTGGAGAGTAATGTAGGTGAGGCGTGAAAGATGTATTGAAGGTGTGGGTGAGGCGTAAAAGATGTATTGAAGGTGTGGGTGAGGCGTGAAAGATGTATTGAAGGTGTGGAGAGTAATGTAGGTAAGGCATGAAAGATGTATTGAAGGTGTGGAGAGTAATGTAGGGGAGGCGTGAAAGATGTATTGAAGGTGTGGAGAGTAATGTAGGGGAGGCATGAAAGATGTATTGAAGGTGTAATGTAGTTTTAAAGTTAATAATTAAGAAACTATTGTATATTTTTTACTAAAAGATTACCTAAATGATATTATACTTAACTTAAAGAAATGTACAATTTAGTATGAAATAAGTCATGGTGGAAATAGGCTAGAATGTCTCTCTTTTTTTTATATTAATTTTTCAATGTGGAGGTGTTTGCCTTGTCAACCCACCCATACGGTTGTCGAGTGATTCAGCGAATTCTCGAACACTGCAACCCAGATCAGACCAACCCAGTTCTGGAAGAACTACATCAAAACACCGAGCAGCTGGTTCAGGATCAGTATGGAAACTATGTCATACAACATGTGCTTGAACGTGGCCAGCCTGACGAGAAGAGTAAAATATTAGCTATAGTCCGTGGAAAAGTCCTTCCACTTTCTCAGCATAAGTTTGCCAGGTTTGTTCAAAATTTTCAAATACAGATCACTTTAATTACATTATTATTCAGTAAATAATTGAGAAGAAGAAGAAAAACACAACATGATTAAAATCTTTTTGAGTATTTCATCTTGATAAAATATTGGGGGAAAAAAAAATGGAACATTGAGACTGTTTGGGTGAACTTGGATATTGATACTAGTGGGTGAAATTTGGATACTGAGACCAAGTGGGTTTGGTTGTTGAGACCAGGTGGCTTATTGGTTTGAATAAAGTACATTTGAGATTTTCAATACATGTATGATACTCTGTCATCTGCAGTGTTGTGATAGAAAATTGACTAACATTTTGTAAAGGATCAATCCAGTAAAAAGTGTTTTATAAAACAGGATGATATATGTGAAAGATGTCTGTGGTATATTGTATAAACATGTGCATTTCATTATTGGTGGTTCCCCGTCCCACCAAACCTGCTCGCCCTTTCAGCCATGGGGGCATTATAATGTTACAGTCAATCCCACTATTTGTTGGTAAAAGAGTAGCCCAAGAGTTGGTGGTAGGTGGTAATGACTAGCTACCTTCCCTCTTGTCTTACACAGCTAAATTAGGGACGGCTAGCGCAGATAGCCCTCGTGCAGCTTTGTGCGAAATTCAAAAAACAATCAATCATTATTGGTGGAAGTTTTACTTGTTTCAGAAAGGTTCATAGCCTAGACATCAAGAAATTGGTGATGTAACACCTACGTATTTATAAAGATCTGAACATCAGCAAGTGTTCTGGTGATGTAACACCTGAATATTTGTAAAGATCTGAACATCAGCAAATCTTCTGTTGAGGTAATATCTACATATATTTGATTCTTTATTAGTGTTCTTGTTTTATATAGTTCTCCTGAAACAATAGGTACAGCTCTGCATTATGCTTTAGATGTCTTATCAGGATCTCATGAAATTTTACAAAATATCCCCACCATTAGCGGCACACGTTCATTCAGGTGTGGTGTTAAGGCATAAAGTAATTACATCATGTGTTTTTAAGATCTTTAGCCTAAAGCCTTTTTTACTCTTATGTTTTCAAATTTATACATTTTCACAGATAATATTACAGTTTAAAGGTAAATAAAAAGCTTAAGTAATTTGCTCTCCTCTTTTTATTAATATTAACTTCTACTATTTAAATAAACAACAAAAACACATGTTGGTCAACATTTTGAAAATAGAGTATGTTGGGTAAAAAAATTTGTTTATAAAGACAACTACAGTAAAGAAAAATGTTTGGTTTTACAGCAATGTTGTGGAAAAATGTGTCACTAACTGTTCAAGAGCCGAAAGAGTAATGTTAATAGAAGAAGTCTGCACTTACAATGATGGGTAAGTTGTGTTTCTTATGTATATCTCTGTTAATATTAGTCTACTAGAGTGATGGGTAGATTGTGTTTCTGCAGATTCTAATGTAGAACTGTGTTATTGTTAGTCTGTACTACAATGATGGGTAGATTGTGTTTCTACAGATTCTAATGTAGAACTGTGTTATTATTAGTCTGTACTACAGTGATGGGTAGATTGTGTTTCTGCAGATTCTAATGTAGAACTGTGTTATTGTTAGTCTGTACTACAGTGATGGGTAGATTGTGTTTCTACAGATTCTAATGTAGAACTGTGTTATTATTAGTCTTATCCCATCACTGTAGTAGGTTG